AAGTATTTCACATGCAGTCACTTTACATGACAGCAGTCTGGGTGACGGCTTTCAGAATCAAACCAGTCAGATCAACTCTAATACTTTTTGGCTCAGTTAAAACAAAAGGTCACCTATGTGCAGACGGAGGAAATCTAACATCTTTTTTTGTTTGTTTTTCTATTTTTTATGCAACACATTTTACCTGAAATTTGAATCAAAATATAGTTGCTGTGTAGGACAGCATGGAGCTTTTTATTTAAAGTCACAGGCCAAACTTAAAACTATTCAACAATATTCAGTTACATTAATTCATTTATATGTTATTATGCAAACAATGTACTTCTAAAATATTGTATAAATTAATGTGTGCACAATGCTGACATACATTAAAGAAACATAACACATATTCACATAATGTATTTATTGAAGAATAAAGAAAAAGAACAGTATTTGCTTCGAGCAGAAGTACTTTCACATAAGCAAAACAATGATTAAAAAAACTGTTGTCTAAGTAACCCAGGAGAACAGCTTGCAGCAGGTTAAATGGTTCTAAGTAGTATAGAGAAGCTATAAGAAATCAATATCATGTCTAAGGAGACAGCAACCTTAGCCTGAACTGAAACATGTTTTCTCTAAAAACTTTGAGGAAAACAAGTGATTCAAGTCGAAACTGTCTCATCTTTACACTGATTTGGTTTTGGCTCTGATAGTTTCTCTATCAGGTTACACTTAGGTATTTTGTATGGAATACATTATAGATGACACATTCTAGTTGTTTTAGGGTAGAAAAAGCCACATTAACCTCTGCTGAACTAGCAATTAGCTTTACACTACTGCTCAAATTTCTGCATGTTTATTCTAATTGAGGAAGTTAAGGAATCTGAACTTTCTCTTTAAAGATCAGCCAGGTGTAAATTTAGAACAAGATGAAACTGTTCTAAATTTATGCGTGTGAAGAAAGAAAATCACAAAATTATTTGGTTTGCAACTTGGCAGTCAAGATTGCTTTGGACACCCTTACTTTTCAGAACATAGACAGTCTCACAGTCGGACAGTTCACGAGGTTCATCTTCGTTGATTAGGGTTAGGGTTATCTCGAACTTCTCATAAGGTGGAATGAGCACTTCCTGCTCTTTGTATCCAAGCACCGGGTATTTTTTCAGATAAGCTCCATGACAGGTTGTAATTTTAAAGCATGTTGTCTTACCAAAGTCTGTCAGATTTGATAATTTGGAGGAGGAGGCAAAAATACCAAATCGAATTTCTTTGAGTTTGCCAGTGAAAGTAACTCCGGTTCTACGGAAAGTTGTGTAACATTCATTATGATTGGTTTTGAGGATCTGTATCGCTCTGGTCAGCCAGAAATGTAAGGAATGGAATGGAAAAGATGAACTATATTGTTGTTTGTTGGTCCGGACTACTTCATTGAAAACCTTATAGAACTGTAACTTTCCTCCAGCTGTGTAAACACAAATTGCTCGCCTGTGATCCTTTGTTAAAGCATCATCTTTATCTTCTATTTTTTTATTCATACAATGTTTTGTTGCGTTCCATGCCTTGCTGAATACATTGTTTTTCATTTCCATTTCATTTTCAAAGTACGTCTTCTTGACCTTTGCTTCCATCTGTGCAGCACAGGTAGAGTACATGTCATCAACAGAGTTTACAGCCATGTCCAGTGGAAAGGACTGATCATTGATCTAAAAGGAATGAGAAAAATACATATGATGAAGAGCAAAGCAGAACATATATGAAGTTGCATTCATTTCACTTATTTAGTTGGAAATAACAGTGATGTTACATGCTTCAATGTAGGAAATAAATAAATAAAAAAACATTGCAAACTTAAAATTGAAATAACCCTTAATGAATTTTGCAAGTAGAATTACCTTGATATTTACTTTGAATAAAAATCAAAAACTTAAATAAAGTACATTAAAATTGCACAATAACACTAGCCAAAAAAAAAAAAATTACCTTCTCTTGGGGAGCAGGAAGCAGGCAGCAAAGAGGCAACCACAGAAAACCAATCAGGAGCACTTTGGCCTTCATCTTCACAACCCTGCAAACAAATTATTGGTTCAGTAAAATAGGAAAAGAATATTTAGCAATGTAGTGACTGTATGTAATAAATATTATAATTCAACCCCAAAGGAGCTCTATCACCTTATCTGTATTTTAAACCCGAAATTAAATCTTACGTTTTTCCAAAAGCAACGTTGTTCTGGATTATATTATCAAGTGATGAAGCGTAGACCAGATGGATTAGGATTTCTACAGTGGCTCCTCCTTAAATACTCTGCTGTCTAGAAAAGGCCCACCCACAGACACACACGTGGAAAAGCTTCAAAAAAATGTGGTCAGTTTAACAAAGTAGGTCAACTCATGTAGTGTGCTGGTGTGTTGCTGCTCTAGACTCTCAAACTATAGTTTTATAGTGTATTTGTCACAGTTTGAAACAGAGCTAAAAAAAAAAAAGGAGTGAAAAAAACCAACCAGTCAAACTGCTTCTTTCAGAGCTAAGAATTAACTTGTATTTGCATACTATGTATTTCTAATCCACCCATGCAAATGTTGTTTTCACCTCATTAGGTTTCATTTGTAATTAAGGAAGCTGTAATTTAAGCTGGGCAACATAAGGAAATGTTTGAATACAATTTAAATAGAAATTGCTTTTACATGTACCTTCAGTGTGTTAAGATGTTTTGCTGGGACTTCACTTATTCATATGTTCTGTGATACTGAGTTTAAATAACTAATATCTAAGTCTGTTCTCAAAACTCTTTTCAATCATTACAAGTTTTGAGGAGAAAGACATGAAGTCCTGCTTTCAAAATAAAAATGTAGGAAAAAGTATTAAAAGTTTTGAGGGCATCCACTGACCCCGCTCCGTCAGTAACCACTTTGTGGCTGAGTCGCTGTCATTTTCCAAACACTTCCATTTTCGTTGCATACGATATTTAGGAGCAAGAAAATGTCACGACTGGATTTGTTGCGCAGGTGAAATATTATCACAGTTCCACGCTGAAATTCACTGAGCTCCTGAGAGCGAGCCATTCTTTCACAAATGTTTGTAAAAACAGTCGGCATGCCTACCTGCCTAATTTTATACACATGTGGCCTTGAAAAACATGGGAACTCCTGATTCTGATCATTTGTATGGGTAAGCAAATACTTTTGGCATTATGGTGTAAAACTGAATGGACATGAATCTTGTGGCACTGCAAAACAAAACAAATGGTAATAAATGTTATATTACAGTGTACCTTTTTTGTTTGGTAAGGTAATAAAGGTGCATGACCACAAGGAAGAAGTTCAAAGTCAGTTGGTTAATTAAGCATGGCCAACAAACAACGATAAGAAGAGACGTGTCATTCTTGTCTCGTTTTTCCACAAACTTCTGCTTCTACAAAATCTGATAGTCTTCTTCTTAAAAAGGTCAAAGAAAGAAAAACAGAAGTTTCAAACTTGATTTGCATTCAAGATAAAGAGAAGATTCAAAAAGTGATGCAATTGCTTTTGCTATTGAGTCTCCAGAACAAGTAAAATAAAACAGACCTTAAAACTACACCCAGTTCTGACCCCCTACTGCGAACTGTAAGATAACATCATCTCTAACATTCGTGCAAATCATGTTTTTTGTTGTAACTCACTGAAAAGAAGGATAACCACACACATCCCCCTCTTCGTGATGTTTCTCTTTTGAGACAGATAATCTGTAAAAAAAATTAATTCCTCCACCTTCTTCAGCTACTATTGTCATCTGAAGAAATGCACCGCTCCCAGTCAAAATCAACCAATAAAAGGCAGGAGGAAGGCCTTAGTGCTGTCAGTCATGCTCATGTACGCGCAGCTCCATGTACTAATGGCAGAGTAACAACTTACAGTTACAGTTATCTGCAGTCATTGGTGACGATGCTAACCTCAGGCTAGTCAGCATGAGGGGAGACGTTGTAAGCTTATACAAGCCATGAGTGACAGCACTAAGACCCGCCTTCTGGCTCTGATTGGTTGTTTTTAGTTAGCACTGTGAAAAGGCAGAGGAGCTAATTTTTTTTAAAATAGATTGTTTCATACTGTCCTGTCAAGACATGTTGACCACCTTAACAAATATTAAAAATATATATATTTTTAGAAAAGTTACATACTGCAGCTTTAAACAGAAGCAAATTCCCTGAGGCAGATACAAGACTGTTTATTCACTCAAGTGGTAATTTGGCTCTCATTGTGGTGTCGGTTTTGACGTTATTGTCTTCGTACTTACCTTCACCTTCTCTCCTATCCTGTCAGTTCTGATTCCTTGCGGATGTCCCATTCCTGGTTCCCAGTAAACACCGAATAAACATTCCCCATCATTGCCTCCATCTGCCTGAAGATCCTTCCTCAGGGTTCTCTTCATCAGTCTCCTCATCACTCCTCTGGCTGCCACCTGCTTGGATTTCAGTCAATTACGCACCACAAAGAGGTGAAAGTGCTTTAGCTCCATCTAAGATTGATTTAAATGTTTCAAATCAAATGGAAAAAAGAAAAAGCAGATTTTCACACATGAATTGGTCACCACAGAATCCAGACATTAACCGCATGAGAATCTATACAAGATTACAACTCCCAGAGTATAAGACGTTGGTGAAAAGTTAATATAAGACTGAATGGTCATGAATCTTGTGGCACCGCAAAACAAAACCACAGCAAATGGTAACAAATGTTATATTACAGTGCACCTTTTTTGTTTTGGTAAGGCGGTAGAGGTGCATGACCACAGGCATGAAGTTCAAAGTTGGTTAATCATGACCAACACACTGATATCAATCTTATCATCTAAATGATTAGAAGAGACTTGTCATTCTTGACACTTGTTTTTCCACAAACTTCTGCTTCTACAAAACCTGATAGTCTTCTTCTTAAAAAGCTCCAGAATGCATATCTGAAAAACAGAAGTTCAAACTTGATTTGCATTCAAGATAAAGAGAAGATTCAGAGAGTAACACAATTACTTTTTCTATTGAGTCACCAAATCCCCAGCCCCAAAGAAACAGAGTTTAAAACTACATAACTACAGTAGCACTGATGTACTAAGTTATCAAAATTACACCTATTAATTTTCCATATACATAATTGGCCATGCAATTATCATTTTGAATCTGTAAACCAGCCAGTCTGTTAGCAGCTTGTATCATTATTTCATGCTGCTTCTATGGTACGAACAAAAACTTGTGCAGGACATTGACAAAGCATGACAAACGTACAGAAGCACAGAGAGGAAGTGAAAACTTCTCTCTTCCTCAGTCATCTACCTAATCTGCTACTTCACATTACTTTTGGCAATTTACCATCAGTGTCTTCTTCTCTGGAAACCTCTGAAGACCTATTGCCAAGGTGAGGAATACATCACCAGGCAGAAAAAGTGAGACTCGATGAACTCAGTGACCTTCTGCGCCTGTTTTATCCTGTTTGGGGGCAACAGGAAGGCTGGAAGCAAACCCAGGAGACCCTGAAGTGGAACCAAAACACACAACGCAACCTATGGGGGAATTTAACTGCCAGAAGTGTTGTTCTGGCAGTCATCCTCAAGATTTCAGGTTATGTTTTCAATCTGAAATCTTGTGGATCAAGGAGAACCGTCGCCTAACAACCGTTCCAGCCAATAGAAAGACAGTTTTCCACCGGGTGCAGCTGATAAAACACTAGATAGTTGCATCTCCTTTTCTGGTGATGTGTAGAAAACAACTCCAGCTTTCTGCTCCTTCCTCCATGTCATGACATGTTTGCGAAAGGATAATCATTCGTTTTTGTCAAATTAATGATTTCCCAACTGAATAAAACTTACAAAAAAGATTCTGGCCGTTTTGCCTGCGATCGTTTCATATGCATGTTCTCTAAAATCAGTAGCAGCTTAACCCGACTTAAACACCTGTTCAGGATCTCCTAATTTGCACATTATTGGATATGAGCATCACTTGGAGGAAGAGTCCTTAGATGCCTTTTTTCCAATATGAAGAAAATGAAAGTCTCGACACAGAAATGCGGCGACACAGTTGAATTTTGATCGATCCAACCACAGAAACCCAAACAATCTGGCACAGCTTGTGCAGAATAAAACACAGTTCATATATTATGTGATATTACACAATATATGACACGACAATATATTCAAGATCATGCATTTATTCACACAACTATTATTCTGTTGTCATGAATGGCCTCACACATAAATAGATTATTTTTCTATGTTAAACATATTTCTGCAGAGTAGCATAAGAGTTTGTAGTCAACATACCACGTCCTGCTTCTCATAAGACCACTTCCTGTGGAGCTCAGACAAGCAGAACCACAAATTGATAAACTAAAACTTAGTTCAGATTTTGTGCAAAGAGACAGTTCAACCATAAACCAGAGTAAAGTTAAAATCAATCCTAGAATTAAACAAAAACATTATTTAAAGACATGTTAGACTTGAAGCTATAATTTTTCATCTGTGTTATGGCTCTTTTAATTTGGCTTACAAAGTTAGCACAAGCAGAACTTGGCTTTATTTTATTTGGTGTGGTGAATTTACAAAATTCCCCAATGTACAGATGCAATACAAAGACATTCGTTTAGAATAAACAATCACCACTTTGTCGTTAATTATTTAGGTAAATACTATTAAACGAAAAGTTTTTTGGAATATTTTAATATCCTACAAGTGCTTATAATGTAAATTAAGACTGCAGTTAAATAAGCAATAACATGAAAATTACCAGGACGATCAGAGCACCCAACACAACAGCCACATAGCATTTCTGTTTGCGTTTCACGAGAATAAAAGAGTTTATTATTAGCAGCACAGCGCATGCAGACATGGTCAGGGTGTTGCCTCCACCCCAGCTTAAAAGTCCTCCACCCAAAAGAGATTTTGTTAGCTTCTGACTCAGTTTGCAGTTTTGGTCTGCCTTTGGTTTCTTGGTGCTCTGAAGCTTGTAGACCACGCCGCACCACGGGTCGCCCGTCACAACGGCCATCACCCGGAAAACCTCGTAGGTCGGAATGAGCACCTGTCCCATCTGGTTTACGCTGGAGTAATGCGTGATGTCAGCGCCGAAGCACGTTTGGATCTCAAAACAGGAGACGTCGCCGTTCGCCTCAAACGACTGCTTGCTTGAGATTGCCCAAGTGAATCCCCCAAAGCGGACGTTTGTGTCTATGACATCCTGGTCGAAGCGTTTCCAAGTCCTGAGGTAAACGGTTCGGCACTCCGAGTGGTTCGGATTTAGGGCTTGGATGGCGTCGGTCAAGTAGAAATACAGAAAATGAAACCTGAAGCCGTCCGTGCTGTACTTTTGTTTCCCCGTTTTCACGGCCGTGTTGAAATCCTGTCGGATGTTGGCCAGTTTTGTGAAAATGTACAAGGACGTGGCGTGATCGTCTTGTAGGTGCTTGTGCACAGGCTTCTTGGCATTTCTCTCATCTACAGCCCAGGCGTAGCTAAAGTTCATGTTGGCGTGCCACTCAAACACACCATACAGGTTGATGAGAGACATGGACTTAGAACGACAGCCGGCATACATGTCGTCAATGCAATCTGGGGCCATATCCAGGGGCAAGACTGCAGCATTCTGGAATGAGAGGTGGTTGATCATGTGAAATGCTTTCAGGAAATTATTGAAAATAATTTTTTTCTTCAATTGCCTGGAATTTTTCTACTGTGGAAAGTATCAGTATGAGGGCAACACTAAGACAATAAATCGAATTACAAGAATAGAGTCATAAGTACTGCCAGCATCATACTGCTGGTATCATAATGCTTTTCTTCAGGCATGACACTGCAAAAAAAAATATGTTTTAACATATCTGTTAAAGCTGTCACTATATCTTGACAGTGTGGTATCAGTTAATGTGAAAAAATTTTTTCTACAACTGGTTCACCACAACAGGTCACCATGAATGCTAAGGCTAGTTAGCATGACCACCGAAGACGGAGGTAATGAGAAGTTGTTTCTCCGCCATTAGAACAATTGACAGCGCATACATGAGCCTACTAGTCACAACATGGAGAGAGTTATAACAAATATGTTTTACAGTATGTAAAATAGTACGAATACTATGGCATTACGTTCGGCCACCCTGGATTTTCCTCCCTTTATTTTCATTCTCAGGATAACCAAAACAATGCCACCAAACAACCACCAGAGGGAGCTCTAAACTGTTAGTGTAAATCACACAGGGCAGAACAGACAGCAGTGGAAGAAAACCTGTTGAGTCAGGACACCAACTTTAAACATCCACAACTCATAGCTGGTATCTTTCCAATCTCAGAGTTTAGTCACCATATTTTGTAAAAAAAAAAAAAAAAAAGGTGACTAAACATATCCATAATGTAATGCTGGCCCCTCCGAAAAATGTTACTCTAATTGCGGCAACAAAAACAAAACTGTCTCTAAAAGTCTTGACTCAGGGGCATTGAAAACACACCTTTCAAAAGGTATTGAAACCCTTGCATCATATTTTCATCCAATTAATGATGCTTTCTTTGTCTTGTCTTGACACATTAAAACCCAAAATAAAATGCACTGAAATTTGTTATTGAGACATGATAAAATGTGAAAAGGTTTGAGGTGTCTAAATACTTTTGCAAGGCGCTGTAGTGAACTGCTTCTTAGCTTCTGGTTCATTTAAGGAAAACAAAATAATCTCACCTCGGCAGATCTCTGGGGCCACCACAGGATTAGAAGCGGGTCATTATACAGCAGGACCAGGACCAGCAACAGTCCGCAAAGTGGAACCAGGTTTAGGAGTTTAATCCCACGCGTTGATTCCCACCGGAATGTCATATCTGATTTAAAGAAATGACCAAGGAATTTTGTTGACTTTGAGAAAAAAAAATAACTTGAATGTTTTTGAAGATCAGCAATAAACCTTTGTCAAGGGAAAACACAGGGCTCTTTTTAATCTTGTAATCCACCTTTAGCAACAAAAGGGAAACATTTTAGGCTTACCTTTTTACTGCAACTGGCTTCATAATCCATGGAGCACAAAAAAAGACAGCGAGACTCGGAGAGGAAATGTTTTTTTTTCTTCTCCACCTAAGCATTACTGCAGGACAGGATCTACAGGTGCAGCTACTCGGCCCACACCTTCATTAGAACTGCTGCTCAAAATAACCAGGAGTTTGCATGCTGTGTTTGCACAGAAGTCACTGCTAGAAAAGAAACAACTGATCAAGTTCACCTTTCATCTTACTCCTTTTTCAACATTCTTGCTTTAGTTTGCAGTTTACTGTGTTGCACCATGTAGAATTTTTTTAATGATCATTTGTAATAAATACAAGCACACTCCACTTTCTGTCTGTTTGCACGGCCAGAGGGAGATCCTCCAGGCGGTAAAACTAGTGAATCCGGTTTAGCCACCAGCTCTGGCTGATGCAAACAAAGGTGAGTCATTCAAACGCAGAAAACACAGAAGCACACAACATTTCCATATAGCTTTCATCACAGCGGTGAACAGCATGTGGTAAGTTATTAGACTTATTTTCCCTTTTATGTATCTCTGCTCTGTATGTGATCTGCCTGCGGTTAGCTTGAATATTTTGAAAAATCTGACAGGTTGATGAAATCCAAGGCAAAATAGGTCACTAATTCCTCATGTTACCAGACTTTTTCACCGTGTTACTTGGAAGTAGATCAAGTTGTGCCAAAAGAGTTTAGATTTCGGGGTACCGTCTCGACTTCCTCTGATTATGTCGCGTTACAGGATGTCTTTTCTTTCTTCTCCCAGATGAATGATGCCATCTCAGAAAAGGCAACAGAAGGGGTCTGCATGTGTGATTGCTTCTTTGGTTGTTTTAGAAGGACTGCTTGTAGTTTTTGTCATATACATTTGTCTCAGTTGGAGGGACACTGTTGGAGAGGTAAGTCACAGTCTGTCTTATTTTTACCCAATCATACTTTAAACTCCAAATGATCATAAATATAAAATGACCGATCTAGAATTTAAAGTTCAAGAGCTTTTTTAGATATTACAAGCCTTTCTCTGATTGTTTTTGACAATTTTTAAGATGGAAATGTGCAACAGTTCTCCACGTGTGTTGCTGTCTTGGAAGCTCTCTCAAAACATTTTTTCCCCTCTCCTTTTCAGAGTTCTCAGCATCTGACCTCTGACCTCGATGGTGACAAGTTCGCTGGCTGCACAACCAAAGTCGCGGTTCTGAATGACGAGGCCATGAAACAAAAATGGCACACCTGCAGCGCACATTTCAGCAAAGCCTGGAGCAAAGCAGAGCAACACCTGAAAGAACCAGCAGACAAGTACATGGAGAAAAGCCATTCTCTGGCTTTAAACATGTTCACCGCTGAGGTGCTGAAACGGGGGAACAAGAACTCTGAGGCTGCAGAAAGAACTCCGAAACAAAGACGCGCTTTCGAACCCGTCTCGCTTTATTCCTCTCTAAGTGAGGCGATTCTAATTTTAAAACAAAATCAGGTGATGTGTCTGAGTACAAACTACAGAACTGAAACCGTTTTGGAGCTCAACGTCTCCACTGGCCTGGTTCGATTCAGCACCTTCATTTTAGGCTGTGATAGGTGGGATTCTGATGGAAATGTTTCATGTTTTGATGTATACTCTTGCTTTGGAGCAAACGTAACTAAATACTCTGTCCTTAAAGGAAATAACCAAGTCCTGATTCCTCCGTACGAAGTTTTTACAGTCACTGACGTCCAGAAACAAACCAGTTCATGTAAAATCACCTACAAACTCAAAAGTAATCTGAACTGTGTTTATGACGAAGAGCGCAACCAGTTGCATTCCATATCTGTGTTACCTGCAGAGGGATTTTGGCTCATTGTCACCATCATTTGTTTTGTCCTTCTGTTGCTTTTACTGCTCTGTGTTATTGTGAAGCTTTACTGGAGAATCAGCTCGGCTGGCAGAGTTTCAAATTCACATAGCACTGTCCAATCCCATTATAGCCTGTAATGCTGCTAGTATATAATACAAGAATAGATATAAAAAGAAGATATAAATAACATTTACCTCATGCTATTTTTAATTTTTTTGCAAGACAAACACAGACGTGGAAGACACAGAGGAGAACTTCTGCAAGTTCTCCAACAATCTGCAGAACAGTGTGGTGAACGCCTCTTTTCAGTCCATCCTGGACCTGAGCGTGACCAGGAGGCATCTCGCTCAGGAAAAGGTGTTTATAGAGGCGTCATCCATACATGCCGTGCAAGTCCAATACATTCAGCTGTTCGACAACCGGGAAAACGCATTTCTCCAGAAGAGATCTCCTCCATCCCGACGGAGCTGAGGGAGAGAATACCAGGCACGGGAAAAGACTTTGAAATATCTTGTTTATTGGAATCAGTGATGATCTGGCTCGACTTCTTTGGCGGCAGAGAATTGCACGGTGGAGGCAGTTGTTCAATTTGTGAGGTGGATTCTTTAGACCAGTGGTGTCCAAAGTCGGTCCTGGAGGGCTGGCATCCTGCATGTTCTAGCTCTCTCCCTGGTTTAACGCACCTGGATCAAATGATGGCTTGTTAGAAGCCCTAAGAGGAACATTGACAAGCTGAAAAGGTTGTTGCTACCACCAGGGAGAGAACTAAAACGAGCAGGATGCCGGCCCTCGAGAAACGACTTTGGACACCCCTGCTTTAGAGCTTGTGAGCAAAGGCCCCCTGGTTGTACTCCCATTTTCACCATGGGTTGACAACATATCTCTTTTCAGCTGTTGGGTGTATTTGGGGATCAAATGTATTTGTTCAGCCTGCGGGTCAAAGTTAAATTACAAACACTGCCTCACTGACAACAATATTCTGATCTTTTTTCTGCCACAGTCGGCCAGACGTAATAATTTAAAACACAAAGTCATTCCCAACCTGAGCATCCATGTGCCTGGAAAATGTGGAACGGAGCCTGTCCTCCGTCATCTGCTGTGATTCTGACCCGGCCCAGTTTTATACCTGCATAGTGCACGGACAGCAGGCTGTTGATGAACATGTCTTCACTGCAGACAGCCGCTGCAGTGAAGGCATGTTCAGAAGGGGCTTCATTTATGGATATGAGAAGGAAAGAAAGAAGAGAGACCAGGTGAACAGACCTAATGTGACGGTTTCTCCAGCCCCTCCTCTCAAAAGCGATAAAGGTGCTTTGAGAGAGGAGCTACAATTATCTAATTTGGTTGAGGAAAATATTTATTTAAATTGCACGTCTGACTTTTGTTGCCTGTAAAAATAAAATAAGTAAAATCTTCTGGGAATAATATCTTTAGAGCAATGCTGGAAGTTTTTTTTTTTTTAACTCTTGTAGTGGATGGTTATATAGTGAAAGCTATGTGGTTAAATGTTCAGTATAAGACGTTTTCCCTCCAATTCTGACAGCAGATGTGTGCTTCAAATATAAAAATGCTTCCATAAGACATGCACGACAAATAAAAACAACAACACATCGACAATAGCTAATAAAGTTTATTCATCCGTTTAAGAAAACTGTTAAACAATAATTACAACAAAGAACCAAATAAACCTCAAAGGGCAGTAAAAATATACCAAGTACAATACAATATTCCAAGTGGAAGAACAAAGAGCGACTTTCAGCAGCTAAACAGGAATGGCACTTCTGGGGTCTGTTTCACAAAGCTGGATCGACTCGAAGCCCACCTGAATATTCAAGCAGACGCTGAGATGAGCTTTAAGTCGGACGTGTTCGAAGTTCATGAGACAGATTCCAGAAAGCAGAAGACGGCAAACCAGCTTGCCTGAGCGCAAACCAAATCGGGAGGTGAAGAGGAATGAAATGCATTACAGCAATCACTAAAATCAAACAGCAAAGTTTACTATTTAAAAAGAACAAAGGAGACGTCATCTGCCTGGAAATTAACAAGGCGGGTAAAACGTCAAAGCAGCCACAAAGCATCCATTTGCTTTACTACTTAGGAAATAATACGCCCCCTTGTGGGGGGTTTCATTAGAAGCAACTGGACAGCAAAAAAAAGAAAAAAAAAGAAAAAAGTGCAGCACTACAAAGAATCTCGATATTTAAATGAAAAGAATTAAACTGAACTAATATCAGAATAGCAACTTCATTGATAAAAACACATTAAGCCCGACTCAAATCAAAGTGTTTAATTCACGTCTGTGAAAGCTTCACAAACCCTCATCTCACACACAAAAAAAGATTTACCTTGTCCATTTTCAGTCCATCAGCACATTCATGGCACATCAGTAAAGAAACCCAGAGCAGGCTCAACATAAGAAATCTACAATATTAATCATTAACAGCCGTATTTACAAGAGCTATCGGGTTACTCTTTTAAACAGAGCAGAGATTAACGTTCCACATACACTTTGCATTATTTTAATAGCCCAAGGTGGATCAAACATGTCCCTGGATCGATGTTTACCTGACAAGAGAGGTGGTCGATACCGGACTAGTAAGCATCTATAATCTATACAAAATAGATCTAAACAGACGGCCAATGACTGGTATGTAGATTTGTTTATCCTTAAAAGGCAACAACAAAAGCTACGGTTACAAATAAATAGCTACAGTTTCATCTATTTTTTTCTTCTCTCTCTCCATCTAAATGAAAATCTACACAAATTATCGACAAAATACTATGGTAAGACCACTGAATATCTTCTCTTTAAGCCTGTCTCTTCAAAGTTGCTGTGCCATATGAGCGGATTTTTGGTCCACCGAACCCACAACACGGTAATAAACACATTCCTTCATTGTCAATAATTGAGGTGTAAAAGACTGGAAAGTGCAGGATGCATCTGAGTAATGTCAGCGATCGAATCCTACGCGCTTGAGCAGAACTGGACTTCTCTGGTTTCGTGAAGACGTTTCGTCGCTCATTCAGAGGGGCTTCTTCAATTCTCAACATGGTTGGAAGTAACAAGTTTATGGATCATAGAACAATCACACTAACCGGACAATTGAAGACAACGTTGTTGTTAAGACATGTGTTTTGGTCACCATGGTGTGAACCGGGACAAGAAACGACAGGAGAAGTCCAGTTGCCTTCTACTCAAGCACTTAGGACCGTCATGTCCTGGACGACTGAGAAATCTACGCCAGCGTCGGTGATTGAATGAAAAACACAGCAAGTTAGCCCTGTCGCTTGAGAATCTGGTGGTATAGTTTGATATGTCCGAGTTACACCCGTCTGCATCTTCTTGCAGTGGCAATACTTGGTTTGTTGGAACGGTCTTACTTAAAACTGAAGGAGGGTCTATTGGAAAAAAACAGCAGAGATCATAAAAAAAACAAAAAGCGCATCAAGACCTTACAAAAATTATTTGTAACATAAGGTTGAATTGCAAATGATTACCAGACTACAGTGTAGGGAATGCAATGCAAAAAGTTTGGTGACTTCAGACAGACTCCTCATGCGCATGAATGTCTTTACAATTCAGGACTTGTTTACCCAAAACTGTTTACCTCGTTGAAATCAGAATACAAGGAACAACTTCAATGATTTTTAAAAACAAAAGAATGGCACAACTGCAGATTTATAAAGCTAAACTATAGACGTACAGTCATTGGTAGAATGGGGATAACTTCTCCACTGTCTGATATCGTAGGGAAATTATTGTTGCCTAAGAACTTTTCAAAGTGTTTTCAAAATGTTTGCAGGTGACAAACTCATACATCGACGTAAAAGTGAAATGAGAGCAAACTCAGAAGGTAAACCTTTGTAAGACAAATTGAGGATGGTAGAAGTGAGAAACCAAAACCCAAGTGATCCCGTGGGGAAAGTTTTCAGTCTGAACAGCAAAGAATCATATCCAATAAACAGGTTGTAATATCCTCCAATATTGGAGAACGTGGACAATAATGCCAAATTTCTGGCCTTATAATCAAGGTTTATAGACCGAGTGGAGACCTGTCCATTTACTTGCTGGTGAAATGTGCCGACACTGCATTTTTTAGCATGATGAAATGGTGCTTTCCACTTTAGACAATGTGCTTCTAACCATGTACTTAAAAAAAATAAATCCATGGTTAGAACCCCAAAATGAAAGGCATTCATGCCCACAAAGAGTCTCTAAGTCATCAGAGTTGTACATGTAATAAAAAGTCATGAAATTTTGGATTTCTGTAGCTGCGCTAATAATAAAATTTGGATGTACACGCAGGTAGGTGATGATAAAATTGTAGCATGCAGAGGCACTGAGTTCAAAGAGTTCATAGGCCTACAGTAAATACTCTGAACATGCTTACATTTCAGTCAAAATCTGATCTTCTACTGTACAAAATTACTTCAGACTTCCAATGGAAGCATCATTTTTTTTCATGAGTTACATTACTTATACTGCAACAATCCATTCATACACAGTATAATCACACGTCATATATTTTGTATACAAGTTGTGAACATTCCATGCAGCATTATAAAACCCCTTCTTTGAATAATATTGTCTGGAAAACAAAGAGTATATTGATCGGCGTACTAAAATCTACTGGTTCTTTGACATACGTCCATTAATATACAGATAAAATAAATGACTGGTGTCTGCAACTGATGTTTTCGCTTGGCCTAAAAGCTCTGCCTTTCTTTCACCAATCTGGACTGGCAGGTTCGATCTTCACACACCGTGCGCCTAATGAAGCACATACACAAGTCAGCTTGACACATGTGCCCGTCTTTTCAAATTTAGCTCCGACTTTTCATCACCTTTGCTGTGCGCGAGGGTCAGTCGGTGACTAAAAGCTGTCCTAAAATGGCGTTTTGCTCCCCCAACATGTGACAAAAGTGATTTTACTGATTTGATTTGCCTGCATCACATTTATGTCACATGAGATATCCATCACTAGTTTCAGGCAACATCTGACTTTGTAAATGCAATCAGTGCACTTCTGCTGATAACGACCTCTTAATCGTCCTCAGATACAGAGGATGAACAAATTAAACTTTGCAAGCGTCAAACCGCCTACTTCCAACTGGAACTGCAGACAAAGTGACGGTTTCATTTAAAAGGTGTAAGATGTGTAAACATTCCCAGGTTTAAGTAGGCTGTTTTTTTTGTGTGTTTTTTTTTTTTACATATATTTTTGTATTATAACATCTCTGGAAGTACAAAATGGTTTGGCAAGTAAGCGGGGAGAATTACGTACAACAGCGTCCCTGCCTTTGGAGTGCGAACTGGGTAGAGTTTGGGGAGACCTGAGGTGCATTCTCTTCGTGATTGTACAGATTTTGCATTTTTTTTAAAGAGTTTAGAAAGGAAACGACGAGTACAGTGCGATCCACACGCCAGGCTACGGAAACACTTCAACGGATCTACCGTCAATGTACTTGATTGCCTCTCCGGCGTTCGGTTCTACTTCTACTGTGCAGTTCCAGTTTGAATCGTCAAGTCGATCATTATTATGCCGTCAACTATGCAGATTAGTAACGGGTAAGATTACTCTGAACACTATCGAAGCTGAATCTGCACTGGCTCTGTGGTGTCAAGGCAACTACTTCAAAATGCAATAATTCGTGGCCAGATAGTCTGATTGAAGAAAACATAACTACGGAAACAATGCAAAGGATTTATTTACAAAAAGAACTGCCACTCAACAAAAATAATCTTTGCTTTCGATCAACATTAAATGCATTAATTAGAAAAGATCTGACATCTGGCTCGCTTGACTTTACGCTCGGCCACACCAGGGTGACCGGGCCTGCAGCTGCCTGGATGGCATCAATGACACTAATGAAGACCGATAGAGGGATTGGTATACGGTAAAGATTATGGTCGATCATCGGATATGGCTAAACAAGTTGAAAGTCAGGGCACTGGTGCTTGGAGGCAAGGGTACCCTCATTGGGCTCATAAGACAACGGGTAAAGAAGAAGAAGTATACAATGGAGGCTGTTCTACTGCTCGCCCATTTCAGCAGGGTCACAGTCGGAAGGCGGTGTGGATGACTGGAGATGGTTGGAAACGGGTAACTGGTTCAGGGTCGAGCTTTCTGCGGCTTCGCTGGGGACGGGCTCAGGTAGGGTCAGTGTTTCGGGGGCGGACTTTTTACGAGGCCGGTCTTTGGGGACAGAGAGGGATTCGGGTGCATCCGTGCACATCGGGGTTGACGGGGCACTGGCAGGACCGGTTAGGGCGCAGGAGGACAAGGGGGTCTCACTTATGGAGATTGATGGGGGAAACACCCCAATCTTCTGGTTGGTGGCCTCCTGGATGGTTCGCTCAAACTCTCTCACCTCATCCATTGTCATGTCTGGAAAGAGATTTTACAAGAGACAATACACAGGTTAGTGTTTTTGTGTGCTCATGTGTTGGCATTGTCTTGGCATGTGGATCTTACTACAAATCATCTATTTTGCTCATGTTTTGGATGGAGATGCCAGTTATACTGTTCCTTTGCATTTCTGTACCCAGAAAAGACGCCGCCAGCCATGTCGGGTCCATCTCACCTTACAGACGATTCAAACCTACTTTGAAATCTAATTATTTCTATCATCCGGTTGTGACCTGAATATATGGCAATAATAAATAATATACATCAGTAGAAAGCTATTCAGAGCCATTTTGGTTTGATAATCCAAAAGAATGATTTAATCAACTTGTCAGCTGGTGATGGCCTCACTAAACAGGATGTTGCTTTTAAAAGGACGTCTGCAAATTCAAGCAGACAGAATTGAAAACTAGTGCAGTTACCAAGCTGCATTTTTACTTAGAATCATTTTACTATTATCATTAAACTTTAACTGAAGGGTCCTTTGGAGACTCAGAAGCCCAATTTCTACTTCAACATGACTGCTTTAGGAGAGGAGCGCCATCTGGTGTTTGCAAATACAAATTGCAGGCTGCAAAGTGAGCGTTTATAGCAGCTGGAACAGTTCCAGTCTGAATGGACTTTATGTGTAAGTAGGAATAAATTCCTGAATAGGTAAATGTGTTCAATCATTCTTCCCCCTTTAGAGGAAATATCTGTTTAAAAATGAAATCAGGAACTGGAAATAATATTTGTTAACTTAACCAAACAAAAGAAAAACAAAACACTGCTTAAAAACCAAAGGATAGGTTACATGTTTTTCTATGTTCACAGTTTATTTATGTATTAATATTATATTACCATGTTGTTTTTATTTTTTTTAACTCACTTTTAGTTTTAAAAAAATGTTCCTTTTTTAGCTCCAAATGTAATGACATATGAAGCTTTTACCACCTAAAATTATGAGACAGAGAAGGAAAAAATGGAGTAAAAAAAAGAAAAAGAAAAAAAAGGCACATACACTTGCTTTGTCATGGATCTCTATGTCATCCAGGGAAGATGGGTTTGTTGTGGAATGCTCTTGCTGCTCATTGCAAACTTTAATGTTGGTTTTCTCATGCATTTTTCTCTCGTAATCCCGAACGTCATCCAAAGTCATATCTGCAAAAGGTGAGGGAAGTAGGGGTGCAATGAAGGTCAAAACGTTGGTACCGTTCCATCATGGCTTCCCAGCTCACAGGCGGTTAAGAGAAGGGAAGGATTCGCTGGCGAGGTTAGCGATGTAGCTAGCGGGTAAAGTGTTAGCTGCCCAGAACCCAAAGAGAGTGAAGGACAAGTCCAAGCCAAGAGGGAGCGAGAGAGAGAGTGAGGAGAGGTGGGGGGGAGAGATGGAGAAGCTTTGGGGATGATTCAAGATTAAGGGATAAGTAAGAGGAGGTGGAATCATTGGAAAGAAAAATGAAAAAGGTTCAATTTTTTTTCCCATGGGGGAAAAAAAAGAAAGTAATTTCACAAGGGAAAAATACTTTAAGAGCATTAAGAAGCATCCAGGTTTCAGAGAAGAGGGAGTATTGAGGTTAGTGGTTATTGTGGAGAGGAGTGGTGAATCTTTCTGGGTAAAGATAACAGCCTTATTTTGTATTTGTGTGTGTGTGTGTGTGTGTGTGTGTGTCCCACAGCTATGAGGGGAAAAAAAAGCTGAAGAGCTGAGAAGGAGTAAATGTGCTGCAGCCACTTGAGAGGCGCACACAAGGCGGCCCGTTGTGCAGCCGAGGAAACGGACAGAACCAACACCAACTGCACCAGTTTCAGCTTTTCAATGACGCCCTCATGTAAGACAAATTATTCAGAAGCTTCCTCGAAAACAGAAAATATGTTATCCAATGCTCATTTTCCGGATGTTTTATCAAATCTAATTGGTTTGAATTTCTCTCCCAAAACATGAGAGAATATTTTTTATATTGAATTTTTCTTTAACTGAAGCAGGCTGATGGTGGTAGCCGTGTTTGGAGTTGGTGGGTTAGTAGCGGAGGATCCATGCTGTCTGTACACAAACTTGTTAAATGCCGGTGGGATGCATCACCAATTACAATAATATAATTTTAAAGAATGCTGACAAATACAAAACAGGTTATTTAAAAAAAAAAAGTGCTTGTAGCTGTACCTATCCACTCATCAACCCAAGCAAACGCCTGCCTGTGTCCCAGCAGCAGCACGTCTCTGACCACCTAAAACACAAAACAAACACACGGTCAAACTGCTTTTATCTACACACTGCAAGCAATGCAACATTTTAATCTTTTTTGTTTTGTTTGCATGATTAGTTTTTTTAATTGGAACAAAGTTTCAGGATGATCTTCACATGCAGCTATTTGAACTGTATCAAAACATAACAACGCCACATCAGAGATCTGAAGTTCACCAAAAAGAAAAACATTGTAAAAAGTAACATTTATGGTTTTCCGCACCAAGCAGACGCAGCAGAGAATAATGGAAACGTTGCTGTGGGGAACAATACGGTTCAATTTCATTTTTTTTTTCTTAAATATTCAATTTGTGGTTTAATTCTTTATTTAAAGTTACTATTCTGAGTAGGCTAATGCTGTTTTTGTGAAAACAGATCGACATTTTGCTTGTTTTCAAACATAAATCTAAACCGGCCGTGTTTCACTTAGTACACTGTAGTTGAAGTTGCTATCATGCTAGCGCTAGCACTTTAGCAAACAGCTTCACATGAAAACAGGAGGGAATCAGTTTATCTGAATGTTGTTGAACATTACCAGAGCTTTTCTAACCCAACTTGTTATGCGTTAGAGCAGGTTTAGAAACATGTTGTTTTTGGAAGGAAATATTAAACTCCAGGATCCTGGACCTGTAGCTACTTTAACGTAGCTCAGTCAATGCAGATTCAATTAGTGAGTTACAATGAAAGCACTTTAACTCTCATGGATTCCTGGACATGTCTTTGGTGTTATTTTAAATTGATCTCAGGTTAACTTTGGCTGTGTTCATTTAAATGGAATATCATTGTTATATGTTTCAGGTTTAGTTGTACTTCTTTCATTCTTTTTTTTATTATTTTAACTTTTAGGGGGTTTTCAATTTTTTTTAAAAAGACTTTGACTCCTATTCATAAAACATTTTCTGAAAAACACTTTTTTTTAAACTACGCTTGGGTAGTTTTTACTCCTCCAGGCTACTACAAATCTCCCAGTTTTCATACGGGGAGCGGAAACATTAATCTTAATAACTTTACTGATTTTATAAAGAAGCATTGAGTTGCTTAGATTTAATGTTTCACATTAAATTTATAATCATAACTGAATGTGAATTCATCTTAGAAGCAGAAACTTGATGTTGGAGGAGCTTCTCTAGAAAATTGTTTGATTTTACCACTTAAAAAATAAAAATAATAATAAAACAGCCTGACGGAGTTCTTAAAAAGATATGATTTGCAGGGAAAAATCTGCCAGGTGAATAATTTGTGTGTTGGTTTGTCACTGTTTTACTGTCTAACTCTCCTCACCCCCCTGCTGACCTCTCACCTTGTGCACAAACTGCTCCACTCGTGTCTGCAGGCCCCACACCTCAAACTTGACTGTGACCAGTTTGTAGGAGCACATGATGGGCTCCTGTGTGTCCCTCCAGCCTTCCTGCAGGATGCCTCGCTTCGTCTTTTCCGACTGGAAGTATCGCAAATCCTGGAGGGTGGAGAGGTCACATTTTATTTTATACAACAGCTCAAGCAAAACAGATGCACGATTTGATCCTAGAAAGTAAATACTGACACACACACACACACACACACACACACACACACACACACACACACACACACACACAAAACAGCCTCAAGGTGAAAAAGAAATCCTAGGTGAGAAAAACACATAATCTAAGTCTTTTTGTCCAGTTTCTAGTACAAATATTTTAGTACACCTGAATTAAGACAAAACTAACCTAAAAGTAACTTATCAGCCAGATATAGAAGTTGATTTTAAGTAAATAATTCCTTGATATTGATGAAGTAGTTTTGTCTTATTTCAAGTCTACTGAGATATTTCCACTAGAAAATAGACAAACATACTTGGTAAGATTTGGTGTTTTTTCAGTGTAAAGTTGAGTTTGTCTAATCTAAACCCTTAAAAGTGACCATTTAACTACAAAAAGGTTTCAAATCTTTCTTTTTTGTTGTCGTTTAATTTTTATTACTCTTATTATTTTAACATATATATAGATCTATATATATAGATCTATATATATATATATATATATATATAGATCTATATATATATATATATATATATATATATATATATAGATCTATATATATTATTTTTCCTTTTCTTTTCATCAGCTTATTGTATTATCGTTTTTGCACAGCACTTTGGTGCAGTTTTAAACCTGTTTTTAAAGTGCTATATAAATAAACTTGATATTGACATTGACCCGACTATTACGACATCAATCCATACAAAACACCGCTTCGTAGTACCGATTGTGTTCCGTCTTTGTACTCGTAAGGCTCCACACACACACACACACTCCCACACACACACGCGCTCACCTCGGACTCTTTGTAGTAGCGCTCAGGGATTTCATCGTAGGCGATGTCGACGAAGCAAACCTCCCTCTCCTGGTCCTTCAGCTCGGTTTCAAAGATCTGAAAACAGCAATTTTTGTTGTTGTTGTTGTTTGATGCTAAATTCAACATTTATTTTCCAGTCGGACTCGCCTCCTATCATAAAAACGGACGAATCAAACGCTGGAGTAAATTCTCAGTGTCACTCCGAGTCTCAGAAGGACATGGTGTGTCCAGCCACTAGGGGTCGCACTAAGCTCACCTCTTCAGCTGCTTATTGCACTAAATAACACAGTGCTGACTTCAATTACTGTCATATGTTTAGTCAGCTGATGCCACAAAAGGTGAAAGCTTTCTGTTTTGGTTTTTGCCTTCCCAGTGTTTGTAATTCAAACTCTGTGAGTGTTTTGCACATGTTTAATTACCCAGATTTGAATTACAGCATAATATTTCATGCCACAAGCTTTAAAGTTAAACATTAAAGGGTAAATGAACCTCTTTGCTTCAACTATGAAAGGGTTCAAAATAATTTGTCTACACGTGAGTAAGTAAAACCTTATTTTCTAATTTTAACATTCTGAATAGGATCCGAGGCAGAGGAGGAGATTTAGGGAAAACAAACATAAATGAGATATGAAACAGTTTCTGAACACTGAATTTGATGACCTAGGACCCAAAGTGGCACTTAATCAAAATCATGTGAAACATGTGGAGGAAGCTGAATAGCACCTGGGTTAAAGGTTTCCAGTAGCAGGGCTTTTTGTGTGTTTTTACTCTGTCTTAGTCGAACTCTATTTTGTTTGTCTAGAACATCCACTTCATTTGAGATGTGAATACGTGACTCCGATGCGGTTCGGCTACCGGCGAAACAAACAAAATCCTCCAACTGCTCAAATGTCACGCCACTGCATTTTTATTTACGTTTTGTGAAGAACGTCTTCTTCAGAGGTTTTCATGTCGTTTCCTTCAATTAATTTTTTCCCCCGCTCAATTCTCATTTCTCTCTCCTCTGCCTGGGCTTTCTCCCATTGAGCTCGATTTCTCCAGCAGACGTCCGTTTTCCACCTGCCTGTAGCTTTAGCAACGTTAGCGGAGGAAGTGAACGAAGCTGCTCTGTCCTTGTTGGCCAAGCTTCCAAACATTGAAGTGACGTTAACAGCCGCCTCGCTTGCAGGCAACTTCCGGTAAGGTTTCGTAGCGCCAAACTAGTGCATTACATCCATAGCAGGCAAACTTTAGCAATAAAATTTACAACTTCAACAAAGTCCATGCCATGTGGAACCAATCGTTTCTCTAAGGATCCAGACACTCTGTATGAAGAGAAGCGTAGAACAGTGAACCAGTTTTTACCAGGTTATTAAAAACTAAACCTTCTTAAAGAAATGGCGTTTCACCTTCTATAGTCCTGTGGCTATTGAAAGCAAATTCTTCAATTAAAAAGTTCAACATTAATTCCACTCCATTCCTACCCAAACATTCATGACTTTTCATAGACGCAACAGTCCCTGCTTTTTGCTTTTGCTCCCGTCAACAAATGAGCCAGAAGGACAGAATGAATAACAACACTTAGTTACTGTCCAGAGCCTCGTTTTGGACAATAAAACTTATGTCTTAGTTTACGTAGCGGCTCGTTTACCCAAACAACATCAAACAAAGAGACCAGCAACTGCATTATTAACGTCACAGAATCACCGGGAGTGCCTCGGTGACGGTAAACAACATGGATTCCTGCGTCTCGGCTCACATTCACAAAGATCTGAATCAGCCCGGCGTCCCCAATTGAGTGCATTTTTCCCTTATCTCTGCTTTTCTTCTATTCTTTTCTTTTCTTTATCTGGAAATCGCATCGGCCCAAGGCGGCTTCTGGTTTCAGAATTTGATTTCGACAGCCTTTGATCCATTACTCTGTCACGTCAAAGAGAAAACACGTCGATCTAAAACATCGCGACAGATTTAAAGCTCCGCGCCGGTTTCTGTCCCCTCCGGCATGGCAGCGACGACGACGACGTGTGAGCCACCCAGACATGTTAACGGGACACCCGCCAACCCCGAACTGTTGAAGTAACTCACAAGGAGAATTTTGAATAGGTCAACTCTCTTTAAGTCGATTGTTTTGCTACACGGCGGCCTTTCATTCCTCTGCGTCCAGACGCTGGCACCTTCTCCTGATGACTAATGCCCCTCCGAACCGGAGCCCACAGAGCGAGCGGATCAACAGCACCAAATTAGATTAACTATCCAACAACTGGAGCAGTACCTGGCCAACTCAAAGCTTCGTGTGTACTGGGCATTTTAATAAGGTGGCCTGTAAATCATCACTGCAGCCTGGGAGAATTTCCCTCCTGCAGCATTGCAGAGGTCCGTCTTATACGCCGGTTCTATCTGCTGCCTCGCTTCGTTTTATTGGACACTTTTTTCTGCAGGAAGAGAACAGAGAAGAGGCAAAACGCGCTGTTTTAAGATGAAAGTATTGAGCGCGAGGGGAGCTCGGTTAATTAACCGACTGGGTCTCCGTGCTGACGTCGGATGCAGCAGAGTTTGAGTCGAGGCACAGAGATAACAATATGCTACGATTCAGGCCATGTTGAGGTAGAAGACGTTTAAATCTGAAGGTGCACTCACAGTACTTCTGTTTGGTCCGCTTCAACTCAATTCTAGTTTGTATGTCTAGAGGTGTGAATGTGCAAACACTCGTCCACCTAAAAGCGTAAGGTCTCAGTTCGTAAAAAATACAAAAAAACTCGAAAACAAACACGAGAGTCTACGCTAGAGGGAGAAGTGGCTCGTGGTTTTTTAGCAAAGGCAAAGGAAAAATCCTACAACCGCTAAAATCCGACGCCGCGCCATTTCTGTTTATGTTTCGCGAAGAAGGAAGTTGTGTTCATGTCTTCTTCGGAGGTTTTTGTGTCATTTCCTTGGTGCAGCGCCACCGCATGTGAGGAGGGGAACAGGTTTTCCAAGTGTTTGGTTCGTTTGACACAGTGCAGTGTGAAAGAGAGCCTCACCAGCTGAAAAATGGAACAAATATTGCAATTTTGGTCTCCAATCGAACCGGGTCCACTAAACTGTCAAGTGTAAATAACCCTAAAATAACTTTAGCCAGTAAAGAGGAATCTCGTCGGGTTTGAAAACCGTAATCCCTTCAGCTGTACATCCGATTGCTAAAAATGCCAAAAGGTGCCAGATTAACGGAGGGCATTTCCGTCACTAATGACAGAAGAGGGTAAGTCGATTTGAGACCAAACACAACATCACAAATTTGCCTACATGGACAAACACGGCCTGTGCAGCGTCAGCAGTATCAGGGCCCCATCAGCCTTCAGGCTATCTGCGGTGGAAAACAGGACGGACGCCTGTTCCTGAAACGTGAAACTGTAAATACGACGACGAAAACAAAACTATCTGGGCCCCACCGTTTTGTTCCAGAGAGCAGGTGACACCCGCTGTACTTACGTTGTCGTTGCTTCCTTTGTTGTCCTCGTATTTTGTCTCTATGTGGATGGAGAACTTGGGCAGGAATGAGCACTGCGAACGAGGAAAAATAAGAAAAGAAATATTTTGGTTATTTAATCCCTCTTGAGGGAAATTTCCGTCCCTGCACCATTATAGCAGGCCTACTATCTTATTCATACCCCTTCAGCTTTTTTCATATGTTCAACTCAGTTCTCCTCATTCGTATCAGATAAATTCTCAACAATTTGTCCGTTCAATCCAATCACACAGGCAGATTTATGGTCAGCCGCTCTACACGCTGCAAAAACACAAAATCTTACCACAGTTTCTTGTTTTGTCCAGTTTCTCGTGCAAATATCTTATTACAGTTGAAATAAGAGAAAGTTAACTTACAAGTAACTTTTTAGCACAATATAGGAGCGTGTTTTAAGTAAACAATTCCTTAATATTTATGAAAAAGTGCAGATAATTTAACTTATAAGATATTTTTTCCGTGTGACGGGTGAAATAATCTGCTAGTATTTATTTTTTTGGCTTAAAACAAGCTCTTATATATTCTTGAAAAGTTACCTTGAAGTTAGTTTAGTCTTATTTCATATGTACAAAGATATTTGCACTAGAAACCAGACAAAAAGTACTTTGTAAGATTTTGTGTCTTTGCAACCTCAAAGGGGTAAAAAATACTTGATGTCACTTATTTATCACATCTCAAAATGCTTTCATGTGGGCGCTTTTAATCTACGCCGGAACGAGAAAGCTGGCGCTAGAACTGCAAACTGACTAAAAAAAACAACAATCTGTGGATTTGTTTGCAGTGCAGCAGCTCTTGAATAGTCCTACATGGAAAAAAAATGACAAGCATTCTGTTGCTGTCAAAGTAGTTAGTTTTTTCATATGAAATAAAATTGAGGTGACTCACAGAGTCTGCATTTTTAACTCTGAATTACTGCAGCCCCTACAGCTCGGCCTCACAATATGCTGATGTGTTTTCGATGTGAGCTTTTTTTAAAGCCAAGGCCCGACGTATCCTGTGGGCTACAGACAGACCACACAGACTGAGGCATGCTGGGTATTCGCGGTTCTGTGTGCTCTGCAAGTCATTTTGATAAGTGTGGAGGGGATTTTCACGCAGGTTGTTTTATTTTTTTGTTGTTTTTTTTTCCCAACTGTACATTTAGCATCTTACGAGCTTTAAGACCTTTAAAAAAATTGGTGCAAGTAATTGTTTTTACAGGAACAAGTGATCAAAAATCGATGAAAAGTAGTGTCAAGACTGTTTGCACTCAGTCGTTTGCCTTGTTTTCTGCAGGTGTAAACCGTAACTTACTGTATATTCTTCAGACCGAAGCACAACGAGGCAGACGAGCGTCAGGTCGGAGCAGAAGAGAAGCACAAAAAAAACACAGTTAGCCAATAGCCATGAATCCATTTACGCTGAGAATATAGACAACAGAAAAGGGGAATTTAAGTTGAGCTTATCCGTACGGCCTTTTTATTGGATTAAATACGTCAAAAAGAGCTCAACAAGTAAGAACTCATAACAGACATTAAAACTGATTTTAAAAAGTTAACAAATTAGAATCTACTGTTCATCACTGAGCAGACAGACAGCAGCGTTAAAGGTGGAGAAAGAAGCGGAGGAAAATGACAAGAAAAGAAAAAGAAAAGGGCACTGAAGTAGAGCACTAAGCCGCTGCGACCGTACGCGCTGCCATGGCAACCGCAGATTACAGATAAAACAAAAAAAAATAAGTAAAACAACTTAAAAAAAAAAAAAAAAGTCTTACAGATTTGATCTAAAGTTTTACCAGGTTTGATGCAGGTTTCACCAACTCATATTTAAGACGTTTAAGGATGTTTTTTTAAGACCATTCCAAAAAAAATTTAAGACAGAAATGTTTTTTTTTTGTGTGTGTCAAGGGACCAAAACTGTGATATTTGTGGGGTCGTTTTGTAGCTTTTTTCCCCCAGCAGCAGCTTTGTGCTGCTCAGATGGCGAACTACTCTCCACAGCACTGACCCTCGCAGCGCCAAACTTTTCGGGGTTTTTTTGTTGTTTTTTTTGTTTGTTTTTTTTTGCATAGAATGGGTTTGGCAACAGAAGTTAGCAAGTGGCAAAGATGAATGTCGTCCAGCCGTCTGATAATAAATTTGCACTCCATAGACTAATCATAGATATAAAAAAAAAAAAAAAAAAAGAGTTTTATTTCACATTATTGAAAGCAGAGTTTAGGGGTTAAACGTGCTCTCTAGTTTCTAATAAACAACACATTGTACTCCAAAAAATAAATAAAAAATACATGTGCAAGGCTGCAAACATTGCTCCAAAATTGCAAACAAGATTGCCGAATTACATAGCATATGTCAGGAGTTTCACAGGGTTTTTTTTTTTTGTTGGACAAGCCAATTCCATGAGGTTTTATCAAAACGTGTTGGAAATGCGCCGCGCAGATTAGCAGTTTGGATCACGTTCGCTCCCTTGTCTCTTCACACTGCTCCAATGCGCCACTAACATCCAGTGAAGTGTCTCTGCAAAGTGATAAGTGGTGAGTAAAATGTGTTGTGGCTAAAAAAAACAAACAACAAAAAAAAAACAAAAAAAAAAAAAAACGGAAAACTGTTTGAGAAGGTGACCTCAGAAAGCTGCGTCGGGCTCCGTGTGACTGCGGTGCGGCGCGATTCTCTTTCCGTACCTGGCAGAGTGTCACAGCGGGGTATTTAGAGAAACGGCGGAGCAGCACATCTGCAGCGGACACTCACCCGTTATGGTGTAAGGGTAGTAGTTCCAGGCTTTCTCTGTGACGTAGAAGATTTTAGGAACCACTGCTCGGGCCCAGCTGGGTAGCTTACTGCGGAAAAGAGAGACAGAAACAGGAGACGTTGACCGAGGGACAGTCAGGACGTAGATGTTCACCAACATCAGATTAAAGCAACATTGGTTAACCTTGATCCCTGCTTTACTCTACAATAGTGTTTAGATCGGGCTGAAAAAACAATCCAATTCGACCCCATTGGTTAACTTTAATTACAAGCCCAAAGTAGACCTGATATATTATTTTAAGTAAGATTTTACTGATTTTGTTCCATTTAAGTAAACTGCGTAGCTTCTTCTGTAATTGGCTTTTGCTTAACGTCTTCCAGCTCCATCTTGTCGCTTGTTGTAACCGCAGGGTGAGTCAGGTGCAAATCTTCTGAGATGAGTGATTGATGGGAGCGGATCAGCCGCTAGCGTTCTCACCAAAACCAAAAACTTTGAGCAAATCACCTTGGTTTGAGTCCCTGCACTTTAGTGTAGGGACTCGGAGGACAGACTCAGAGGACAGACTTTAAAATACTGCTGCTAGTTTATAAATCACTGGACGGTTCAGCACCAGAACACATTAAAGATCTGCTGCTGTTGTATCAACCTACCAGACCCCGCAGGTCAACCAAACACGAAGACGCAGCGTTCAGCTTCTACGCACCACAAATCTAGAACAAATTTCCAGAAAACTGCAAAACAGCTGAAACACTGAGTTCCTTTAAATCCAGACTAAAAACCCCCCAGCTGTTTAGAGCAGCTTTTGAAACATAAGAAACGAAACACTGAGCCACATGATGGGTAACAAAATGTAAAATGTTTACTGGTTTTCTCAGCTGTTTACTGTGGGTCTTTTAGGACTTTGTGCTGCACAAATAAACTTCATTGACTGATTGATGCGGTGCGCTGTGCTTGTTACAATCTTACCTCCTGCACCTCAACAGGTTAGACAATCTACTCCTCTATTTAGACTATAATCAGTAGATTAACACAACTTTAAATCGTACATTCTCCTTTGGTTTTCTCTGTGCTGTATGTATTATTAACTTATTAAACACTCCACAGAAGCCTGAGCCCGACCCGACCAGCAAGCAACATAATTCTGGCATGAATTTTGGGTCAGGCCAAAAAATCTAAACTCTACCCTACAAACCATTCTGGATTGCAATTATTCAAATGTTAAAAAGTTAAAATGAGTCGAGTAGATATGAGTTTTCATAGCAGTTACATCTCCATTACTTTCCCAGCTCCTTTGCTCCTGCTGTTTGCTCCATCTCTATGATCGATTCACAAACAGTCTGCAGTCTAAACATGCAGGAGCAAAGTCAGAGGGGGATATGATAATTGTCCTTACAGATCAATGGAAGAGACGGTTTTCTTCTTGCTCTGCTCTTTGCTCTCTCTTCAACTCCTCTGGTGTTTTTTAGGGTTGTAGGTTCAGACATTTTATTGAGCTTTCGAGAAGCCACTTAGATCCCAATTGTGAAATAAATAAGTAAAAAATAAACAAATACCCCATTGTTTCCACAGGTTATGCATCATAACTGTCTGAAATTAAAAAAAAAAAAAATTAAAAAAGTAGGAAAAAGACATTCCAGCTGAAAAGCATCCAAACCCAGAGGGAACGTTTGTCCAAATCAGCAGCTGGTGTCAGAGTTTCAAATTTTTATTAATTTCTCAGCAAGTCACAATAAAAACAATAAAAACAACATGTGAACAATTGATATTTAGCTACTGGCACCGAGTTCCACTGCTTCAACCAACGGAAGCTAAAAACACAAAAACATGTCGATCAGAAACATCCAGGTGGTGGTATGACTAAAACAGAACCAATAAGTAAAATAGTACTTTAAAAAGTTAAAATCCCCCAATGAGACGAAACATTTAAACCCAGTGGTTAAAAACACAAACGGTTCCCATCAAATGTACGACTATAAGACTAACTTATACTTGGTCATCATCATTGACCTGACCAGAGAGTTTGGATATATTTAGTACTCACTCCACCAGATTGATTACTTTTATACTATAAGAAAGAAAAAAAAAACAATTAACTTTGTCTAAAACTATTTCCTCGAGCACAGCCCAAACAGCCTGAGAAACCTCTGAGCCTGTGAGTCTGTTATGGCAACCCGACCCTCTCTGTTATCGACAACGTGAGCTCTGTGCTCTCAGGAACTTCACATAAGAACGTGTTTTGGCATTCATGTGACTTTAAGCTACCAGAGAGCCGACAGAGAGACGAAGAACTAAACTGAACTGTTCTCACACGGACCGCTTCCTGTAGAATCCATCATCTACGCCTCAGTATTTCTTAGTCAAAAAAGTAAAAAATAAAAAAAAAGACGTCTCCCGCTGCATCGTGACAGCTGTGAATAAAATCAGTCCTCCGCTGTGATATTTTGTGAGCGCTGGCAGGCTCAATTGCTCTCTCCCTCTTTCTGTCTCCCTCTCTCATTTCCCCCCCCCACCTCCCTCCCTGCCCCCCCTCCAACAAAAGAGACTGACACTCCTCCCACACCTCCATCTGTTGATTGCTCCCATTCCCTCCTTGTTCATTTCACAGACTACCGGCGATTTCTTGCCCATGCTGCCAAGTAAAGATGTTTGCATTTTAAAGGAGGAGGGGGGAGAATAAAAAAAAAAAAAAAAAAAGCCTATTTAAATAAAGATAACAGTTTATCAAGTCGCAATTGGTGAGATTAAGTGAAAGCGTGCGACGACGTAGGGGTAAGAGTGTTTTAAGTGTGACAAATGAAGTCCAGATTTACTTCCCTGCTGGTGAATCTCAGCTTAATGTTTGTTTGCCGCAGAGCCAGATGGACGAAGGACCGATTTTGAGTAACTGCAGTTAAATGGGAACAAAAGTTGTGTTATTAATTCTGCTGATTACGGTGTTTTGCTTTTTTCTTTTCTTTATCTTTTTCCATTTGCTTAATGTTTTTAGCATTCGATTAGCAAAGATCGCATGCGGATTCCAATTTTATCTGGAGGCGGTCCAGCAGCACTTGGACCATCTCCAGATAGAAGACGGTGGAGTTAGGGCGTTTTTTAATTTTACCGCACAGATGCGATCATTACGGGCGTCATAAACCATCTCTGACGCAAAACACTTAGGGAAAATGAAGTGCGTTCACCTTCAGGGTTGTCAAAACAGCTGATCTTTCCACCTCATTTGTACGAAAATCAACTATTTCTGAACACGTATCCGTTTCTCACACTGGAACTGGTCATACTTTAAATTTTTTTTTTAAAAAGTATCAAAGTTGGACTTGTTTGTCCATAATTTTAACCAAAAACACTCGATATGTTTCTACTCAAACAGTTTTTTTAATGGGCCGAGCGGCTTTAATTGCTTTCTCCTGAGGTTCGCTGACTCAGCATAACTGGCTTCCCAGCTCGGTGAACGCTGACGCAGGAAACTGTGCCCAGAGACAAATGGCCGACTGAATCTCTTCCACCTCTCCATTTTCACTCTTTGATTATTCCTTCTGCCCGTTCTCTCCTCTTCTTACACATCTTATCATTCTTATGCCATCACCTTTGCTTGATATTTACTGACATGAACTCTAGAAAGGCTGCAACTCGTAAAAGGTACTGCATGGTGAAATGTGTGCTGGTAAGGAGGATGACTGGATATATGCGTTTCAGTAATAAGAAATGCACCATTTTTTAATTATTTGCAGTTTCTTAAATAGTAAAAAAGGTAAAAAAAAAAAAAAAAAAAGTTTTGTTTAAAGGCATCTCATTTATTTCCTCTGCAAGATCCTTTAGGCTGTTCTTCTTACACTCATTAACCCAGAATTATTTATGCCACAAAAAAAAAAAAAAAAAAAATCAAAAATTATTTTTTTATATAAATCAGAAGATTTTAAAGACCAAGTCAAAACTCCTCTGAAGGGAAACCATTTAATTTATGGCTCATATTTACTGCAGCTTCTTTAAATAATAAATATGTAGAGTTCATTTAATTGAACCAATTCCTTCTTTAACCAGTGAAATTTCAGCAACAGCATCTGTAAATATATTTTTCATATTTGTTGTATTTGCACTTTCTTTATTTAGAAGTCATTTTATTAAAATTTTTCCAACATTACCGTCGGTCCAAATGACTCTCGCTGGACGACTTTGGAGTTTCTACGCATGTTCATAATTTAAATATGCAAATCACAAAAAATCAAATTCTATGATTTTCCAAAGGTTTCAAAACTGCAGAGGACGGCCGTGATGACGATCCTTCAAGCTGGGCAAAACAAACACCTGACACAGAGATTTGTAATAAATCACTCCGTTTTACTAATCAATGTTCAGACATTTGCAGGCATCAAAACTTAAAGCACATGTTGCAATTTACTGATGAGTAGCATGAGAAAACAATCCAACATTTTCCAATTTAAAAGGGAGAGAATAAGATCAAGTCTGAGGTAATTTCATTTTTGGACGCATTTATAAACTGGAGCTTAATCACAGATGATATGTTAGGTGTTATAATAGCAAACAATTGGCTAATTGGCCTTTTTAATGATCTCCCTGGAACTCTTAAATACACTAATAGAGTGGGTAATTGTTTTCTGTTTTCACCGTTGC